GGTTTTTTTGGGTTTTTTTGTTTAAAACACATCAACCCCTTTTTAGTACAAACACACTTAGTATTTTGAGTTCTCACATTATCTGAACTTCATTACCTAATCAGGCTCAGCTGAGGTACTAGCTGGGGAACAAATGATGCCTTGCAATACAAAGAAATGTCACAATTTCTTTGTCTATATTGATTTACTTTTTTTCTCCTTTCAAGTGGCATCTTACAGCTTTAGATAAAATTTAAGGCAAAGTAACTTGACTTCAAAAAAGATGCTGATTGAGTGAAATGGAATGGCTGCTAGGAAGGTATTTGCTTCTGCCGGGCAGGCTAAGACATGCTTTTCTACGTCAGAAGCACAGGTCTGACTTCTAAAACCAGAGATCTCTCCCTTTAATGACTCAGAAAAATATATTAAAAGCCTATTGTTTTAGAATTAAGGACTACACATATTACTTAACGTTTACATTAACATATCTGATTTCAAATAAGCCTTCAGTAAACACTTCTAGTTCAACTTCCACTGCTGTGTCCTGTGTGCTAGTAGCCAGTGCCCACACAGGGAACAGATCTTCAGCCTTTAAGGAGATGAAACAAAGGCCACAGTGACAGCACAACTACAGATAATTTTCAAACAGGTCCTCAACACTAAGACTTACTTGAACTCACAAATAAAATTTAAGAATCTTCGCAGAAAAATACAGTTTAACAGCAAGTAAAAAATCCCCACCATACATGCATAGAGAAACGCACCATATCAATCCATGACAGCGCTCCTGGGAAGGACTGTGCCTGCACTTGGAAGAGTGTTTTGTTAAGAAAGAAGGAGCTTAGTTCTGTAACTTTCCAGAGAAACATCTTGAGACAGTTATACATCCAGTCTGACTTCAAAAGAGAAAATGTCCCAAAATTCCTTTTACTAGTAGAAGTAAAAAGCAGCTTAAATGGAAGACAGTACTAAACATTCCGAAATACCACATCTGAACTGAATTTTCTATTCTTTTGGAGACAAGCTGCTATTTAAAATACAGGGCAAGCAAATGAGAAGCAAAAGAAGTACCTCTTCAAATGGTTCAATGCCTGCTACTGAACTTCACTGTGGAGTTGGGAAGTCACTAGTTGTTGGCAGCTCCCACCTGCCAGCACAGAAATGATTGTCTAGCCACTTGGTCTCATTTCTCTGTGCTTTCAGCTTGTAGGCTACATTAGGAGACGAGAAAAAACACAGTAAATCTACTCCTAATATATTTTATGTAGACAGTGTCTATTGTATTCCTAAAAAGTTTTGCTGCCAAACAAAGAAGGTGAAGAGGTTTAGCCAGTCACACAGGGGAACAAAAGCAGTTTGTGATTCATTACTGCAGATCACAAAGAAAGTTTGGAAACACTACTGCAGAAATAAATAAAAGCTTGATTTCACAACAAATAACCCATTACAGTTATTAATGCTAATAAACCAAAGAAGTTCCATGGTTTTGCATGTATGTCAGTCAGTAATCTCAAATGCCACACAAGTCCCCCTCTAGTCCTCCAAAACTAAGTTCAAATGGACTGAACATGATACAAAGCTATCAATTTAACCTCGTAACAAACACCAGTGAATGGAGAGAAACAGACTTAATATCAGTGATTTTATATAGCAGAGAGAACCTTATGTTCTCAGACAGTTTCTTCTACTTCTAGTGAAGAGGCTCAAAGCTGAACCAGCAGTTGGTCATGAACAGAGCTTCTCAGGGGTTAATACTGGGTCCAGTACTATTCAGTATTCTTATAAATAATCTGGAAAAAAAGATGGAACCAATCTTCATGAAGTTCACACATGATACAAGATTGCAAAAAGAGGTAGTTAGAGCAGACAAATTACTCATCAAGGAGACTTGGACAGACTCCATAATTAGGCCAGCAAGAATTGCATGAGACTTGATAAAGTCCTGCATGAAATAATCCCAAGCAGCTGCATGGGCTGCTCTATTAGCACTAGACTACAAACACCTGATCTGAAAACCTGTAAGAGGGCCATTTCTCAAGCACTTAGAGCTTCCTGTTCTGAAAGAAAGGACAGCACATATTTACACCCCCCCCTTTACAACCAGGTAAATATACAGAAAGAAAAAAATAAAATCTAATGAGAGAAAAATATAACCAGAAGATTCTTAGATGGGATAAATGACATCTAACTGTGAACTTCAAACGTGTATGTGCAACATGTTTTTATAATACAGTCTGGCAAAAAGTAGTAATTTCCTTTTAAAGCAAGCCATATAAATTGCAACATAAATAAACACAATCCATTCCAAACACAGAGCTAAAGATTGAAATTACAGGACAGGATTGTGAGATCAGCAGCAGTTAGCTGTAGAACAACAGTTATATGGAGAGTAAGATCCAGGCCTGCTCACTCTCCTTCAGCTGTAGTTTTCCTGCTTCCCACAGCTTTACAATCTGTGTTACATGTAGGAATTCAATTGGTGGTGGTGTCACAACAGTCAGACTCCCCTGTATTCCTTCTTTCTCCTCCACAGGTAACTGGCATTTCAAGAGCAGTCTAGACAGAACCAGTGATCCAGCATGACTTCTGGCTTTACTGAAATATTTTACTACTAATTATTTTATTTAGCTGTTTTCTTTGCTCTGAATTTGATATTACTACCTGAAATAAACATGCTATCCCCTTTTCCTTCTCCTCTTATCAAGCTCCTTTAAATAGAATTTTACTTAAGATGCAAATATAAACAGAATATACTTTAGTATAACATTTACCTCAAACTGCTGAGGTGCCATCAGCATTTCACTACATGTTCTGCTCTCAGATCCATTTCATCGAGTAGAATTCTGCTGAATTGTTATTATAGAAAATAATAATGTAATTTGATTTCCCAAGGCAGGCATCACATTGGATTACAAAGTTGCTTTTAGGCAAAGTAGCAAATTTCCATTAGACTTTACTCCACGACACTTCATAATCGTCCATTTCTATTTCACCGATCACGGGATGTTGAAGAAGCAAGGCAATCTTTTGGGAAGTGGGGATATTCAGCAGCAAGATGATCAAGGACATACTGTCTTAATGCTGTATCAAGCTCATATCTAAAAGGCAAAGTTTTGGTCTCCATATGGTGTTAAGATGAGTATCTCGCCACAGCAATGTAGTAAGACCTAATCAGGATGTGGCAGACTACAAAGACGAGTTACACTGAGGATGTTACCCTATTACTCCTGTTCAGAGAGAGGAAAAGTCTGTGATGCGAGGCATAAGGAGTAGCAAAATCAATTAGCAGAAACAAATGGCTGTTCACCTTCCTATCCTTGCAGATCTGGAATGCATCCACAAACATGCCTAAGATACAGAACCACCCTACTTCTACAACTGACAGCAATCCAAGTGATACAGTTTTGTGCCAGTATTTCAAATCCCTCTGCTTGGGGAATATTCCCAGGATTTACTTGCACATCCCCAAAGTAATGGAGAAGAGCAATTTTCTTTCTTGGATCAGAAAGCTTGCTATAAATGTTGTGTACAAATTTTATGACTCTGTCTGCTGTATAACCATGACAAAATGAACAGACCACAGATCTGCAGCATGCATGCCACAACATGCATAACAATGACAGTCAAACAGACATCACCACCTGCCTGCAATCCACAAACAAAACCAAACTCTTTAAAACTATTAACTCACCTTAGAACAAACTACTTCAGTCCTACTTAATCCAAAAGAGAACATAACAGTGAATTAAAAAGCCATCTTGCGTGTTGTATATAAACTCCAGATTCCCTACCCACTCTAAATAGGTAAGGAAATTAGAATTAGAATACTATCATTAGTAATATACCAGCATACTATAGTAGTGTATTATCAAGAGAAAGGCACAAGTCTTTTAGGCATATGGGTATATGGGCAAAGAGATGATCCACTTCTACCATATGAAACTCCATTGAGAAACTAAATTCCATACAAATCTGGCAAAAGTTTTTATATACACAAACTGAAAACAGCTTTGAATCCCCACACAGAGTTAGTTATCTGGCAAAAATGACTCACAGCTAAAATATTCTTATTATGAGAGGTCACTAAGTGCATTTAGGATTTGTATCAGAACTATCTGTAATTTGCAAACAGCTCTACCACAGTTCAGCTTGTCACAAGCATATCACTGCAGCTAAAAGCTGGAGTGCAAAGAACCCGAAAAACCTGAATCATACTGTAAATATATCTAACAAGGGGAAAAAAAAATAATCAGAAAATGTCTTGTATTTCACCAAAAAACATTTTTTAATAATTGTTGTTTAAGCCTGCTTTAAAAAAAACTGTCTTCAGGATTTTACAACAGATATACTCCACTTAACAAAGTAAATATATTTACTTCCATGGCACTAAAACATGTCATGTCAAGCCCTGGTGAGCAGAAGAATGCTTGATCAGATGTGTGTACTTGGTAACTTCCTTAGTCCAAAAACAAGACTCGGAAGAACACCTTTAAGACCTGTTTTTGTTGTTACCAGTTTAAGCATGTATACAAACAGGTCTGCAAAACATAATCTAAACAAGAAAATGTATTTTTATAAGTAATTTAAAAACTGGTAGACACTGTGTGTTAAAAGGATTAAGTAATTAAATCCAAGTTGTTCCTCATATGTACATTACACAAAATAAAACACAATTTTCAAATATGTCAGAATCAAAATCTGTAGCAACTCAAGAAGAATTAAAAAGGCTGAAAAGTTATTTATCCTGGTGTTATGTGATACCAGATATTGCTGTTGACCACTTCTTTGTTCTTCAAGCTGTAGGTTTTTTATGAAAATCATGAGAAGATACTCAGGTCCCCAACCGTAGAAATGTGTCCACTGAGATAAGAAAGGGTTAAAGGTTTAAAGTATGTTTTACTGTGGAGCTGTTTCCTCTTCCAGCTTGTTCTGGCTCCTCTAAAGCTGCAAGAAAGCCTCAGATTTTTTTTCCCCCTTGTCCTTCTCCAGGCCATACTCATAACAGTTTGGTTCAGCTATTTCTACTTCAATTGTATTTTGTTGTACTTCATTTTCCACTTTTTCTTCATCATTCTTTGTTTGCAGTAATTCTTCTTCAGCTTCTTTGCAGCCACACCTTGGTTTCTAAAAGGCTTAGCTGTCTTGCCTTTTGTTTCTGTACCTACAGGCTTTCCCTCACAGGGTGTGTCCGACTGCCCTTTCACCCCAGACATCTAGACACATCAGGGAAAGAACAAAACACAAACTAGAATTAATAAGCACAAACATATAACTCATATCAGAAAACTGCCTTCTACTTCCTGTCATCTCAGCCAGACTTGGAGGCCACATACATCTGGATTGGGTGACAGGCACAGCTGGTCTTCCTGTCACCAGCAGGATCTCACCACTCCTGCCTCTTCCTTGCCCATGTGTCTAGATTTCCTTCTGGCATAACCCAAATTGCATGAGGTAATTAGGAAGTGATGCACAACTCCATTCTGCCCTCATATGAAGTTAGAATGGGGGTAACATATTTAACTGGGCATAAAAAGGATCCCACCGTCCACGAGGTAGGCATAGTTACATCTGGCTTTTACATAAATGAATAAATTTATGCTGAAGAAAAGTAACACTTGAAAACTATCTTACTTCAAAAGTGTCATACTAATTGTTCAAAACATGAGAGCTGAGAGTGGGATCTTTGGGAAATTTCCAAAGCATGATATGCTTCACTTATACAAAAGCATAAACTACAAAGCAGACTGGATTCCTAAAACCCAAATGTTAGGCTTTTAGGCTATATTAATTCCTACTTATCCTGGAAGGGAGATCACATCTGAACATCAAAAACATTTTATTTCATTAGGTTTAACTGCACTCTGAGGAAATACAGAATATAAATGCTGTGTAAGACTGTTCATTGTCAGTAAAAAGGAATAAGCCACCCACACGATTTTATATTTATGCCTGAGACACAGAAGTTGTGTTTCCTTAAATTAAGGTACTCCCATTGTCTCTAGACAAAGTATATATGCCTCTACATGAAATAACATATTATTCTCATTTTAGAAACATAAAATCATAGTATAGGTTGGAAGGATCATTTAGTTCCATCCCCCTGCATGGGCAGGGACACCTTCCACTAGGCCAGGTTGTTCAGAGCCTCACTCCACCTGGCCTTGAACACTTCCAGGGATGGGGCTTCTACAACTTCCCTGGGCAACCTGGGCCAGTATCTCACCACCCTCACAGTGAAGAATTTCCTCCTAATGTTGAAACTAAATCTCCCCCCTTCCAGTTCAAAGTCATTACCCCTTGCCCTGTGAATCCCTGCCCTTGTCCCAAGCCCCTCCCCAACTTTCCTGTTGCCCCTTCAGGTACTGGAAGGTGCTCTAAGGTCTCCCTGGAGCCTTCTCTTTCTCCAGGCAGAACAACCCCAACTCTCTCAGCCTGTCTCCATAGAAGAGAGGCTCCAGACCTCTGAGCATCTTTGTGGCCTCCTCTGGACTCACACTCTACAGCACAAATCCTACAATCTACTCATGAGGCCCAGCCTGGTATACAGAAACATCTTGCAAAATACTCCATTTCCCTCTGCTAACAGCACAATGAGCTTAAACATTTTTTTCCATACTGTGATGTTTAAAGCTAGGTAAGATGAATCCACCTGAAATATTTTTCAGAAAACAAGGTACTCCTGTTCTTGGTAGTGGATCTAGAATTTTAAAGGGTCTCTCTGATCCCCAAAGATGGCAGATAAGGGTCTGAAATAAGTTATTTCAAAACTGTCAATCTGCTTTTCCACCAAGTGTGATGCTGACCTTCTGTTTCCACATGGCTTCCTGGGGTGCAGGTGGAAACATGCATGGAACTCTTCCATGAATCATGTGATAGGGTAAAGGGAGGCTGGGATCTAATGGAACCCACGGGACTGAAAGAGTGGCAGGTACAGTGGGTAGATCACAATGAGCCTTATGTAAGTTATATGATGTTCTCGTCTTGTCAAGAGAACTTTTGTAGATTGCAACTGAAGAGTCTCCTGCAGCATGAGTCAACAAGTAAGAGCCCTCCTGCAAACTAAAAAGACAGAGTTCAAAATGAAAAATATTATCCAAATGCTTTTGCTTTGTTTCATATGATCAGGATAGCTACTAACTTCTTAATGCAAAAATCCCCACCTCTTTAGATCCTCATCAGACCCTATTTTATAATAAAATATATAAACAAAAAAGCATGATTTATACTGTATTAACATACACTAATTCCTATGTTTATAATGTATTTGGAATGTACTAATTTATCATCAACATACAGATTGTCATCACATTCAACAAAACATTGAAATATACACTGAAAACCATCCATACTTTGAAAACTATTAATTCTTTAACCAGCACCTAACAAACAACTGATATGCTTTAAATCCATGCAGGATTACACAGGTTTTCAGAAAGATAAATGCCAACCAACTGCCCATATTATAATAAAATCTTACTTGCAAACTACCAAGCTACAGAAACTAGTGCAGGAAAACTTGGCTGTAAATTGACTTAAGAGGCATCACACACAGTGAAGAAACCCGCTTCACAAAAAAAAAATTGAGACACTTGCAGATTGAAAGCCTTCAAGTGGCTAAATAAAGCAAGCAGCAAGGGAAAGGTTGCAACGCTGTACAGGGAAAGACATACGCTGTTGTAGGTCAAGCTAAGCAGAAGCTACTAATACACTAACAGTATTACTATTTGTATGGATTAAAGCAAGACTCACAAAAACCAGAAGTCGAAATTTTAAGTGTCAGTCTACATAAATATTATTATAACTCATTCCTGTGAAATGTTAATCAGCTCCGAAGTGTCCAGTCTCCTCTCTTGAATAGGTGGTTCATAAAAATAAATTCTTTTTCTTTTGCCTAATTTTTACAAAACCTGTAATCCTAAGCACTTTTTTACACAGTACTGCATATAAATTATGTCATGTTCCTGAAAAATCAAAGAATAGACAAGCATTTTGTGAAAGAAATAGAATGACCCAGGTAATATTGCAAATAAATACAATGAACAAAAATAGAGCACTTACTCAGACACTTTCTTCAAAATGTGATGAAGTATATTCAATGAATTTGCAGGCCTGCAAAAAAAATTCATACAAAAGTATTAACTAGTAAGGCTCATTAGGATTTCAAATACATTGCTAAAAAAATCTGCTAACATACTCACTTAATCAACCCAAGTTTTTCTTTTAAAGCTTCTGGAGAAATCTTTTCTAGCATAATAAGGTTTGATGTAAAAGCATCAATACGTCCTGAAAAACATTGATTAAATTAATGCACTAAAAATTTAAAAAATAACACATGCAAAAGCATAATTTGCAGACCTACTGCATTTTAAAAGGAATTAAAAATATCACTCTTGTACTGCATAGAATAGTGAAAAGTATTTATCAACATTGCACAATAATGGAAAGTAAAACACGCAGCTGCTTTAAGTACAGGCATCCGTATTTGGGTTTTCTAAATGAGGGAGATGACCATGACTCTTGCAAATCTTACATCTTGAGTGATGTCTGGGATATACAATCTCATTTTGATATGTCCTTATCCACCAGTTGGACTGTATCTTCTCAAACTTTTTTGATCCTTACCACTATGATTCCGCACTGCACAGATCATTCAGGTGTATATTTTATGACAAATTTACTTTTGAGTTTAATATACTTGTTTTTCTATTCTGATGTTTCAGAACAATTGTTTTATCTGATTTTCTAGGGATTCTGAACCTTCATCACTCCATCTTTTTTCCTCACATGAAAAATGACAGTTTACAATTCAGGCCTCATTGATGGCAAATCATTAAACACCATTTGTCTATGACATAGCTAGGGGTAACAACTCAAAGCTCTCATCATTACATTTTTTAAATAAAAGCTGGTGAGGACCGTTTAGCCCACATTTTCAATTGATAACCAATAAAGATCATTAGCAAAACTTGTGCACTGATGTGGTGATCATGCCTTACGTTCAACTGAGGTTTTCCCAAAAATCTGTCCTATTCCAGCTCCCACAAGGAGGGTGAGGAGAAGGCAGAATAATAAAATATGACCTACTGGGTAGAATTTACTGCCTTACTATAAATCTGCTTTCATAGGAAGTGTAAATGCTTCAGCTGTACATTTAAAATTGCTAAACCAAAGCATTTCACATTCCAGGCTAAACTTTATGAGCTATTTGTTATGTGATGTGGAAGAAGACCAAGTAAGAACTCTAATTTTTAATACATTTAAAAAAGATGCAAAAGGACAATTAATTTCTTTTAAACACTGTGTATTCATGACTTTTCTTGATACCAGTATTCTGTGCAAGACTAAGCAGCTATACTCTGCACTGTCAAGTAGAGGAAAGGAAACTTGAAGCAATTATATTAAAAAAATTATATCTGTTTTTGTTCTACATTTCTTAGTAGCCTCTCCTCAAATCAGAAACTTCTCAATTTCTAAACTCATTGACAGCATAGCTGGGCAAAAATTATCTAAGAACTACTCACCTAATTTACATTACTGTGTCTTATATTTGAGAAGTGACTGACTGACAGCACGACATGCAGTAAGTTATCCATCCAGCAAGTACTTCGTCTCCAACCCATTTGGAAAATAGTTTTAATTTAAAGGTAAATATTATCCTATGCAAGTGCAGGTAAACTACTCTTCTGCTCTAAGTTTTTCCTAGGCACTTAATGCAAATCAGTGAATAATGGTCAGGGTAAAATGCTTCCATTAATCAGCTCAGCTTATCACAATTTTATTTACTAACCAGATCAAGTACAAGTACCTTATTAAGGAAATATCACAGAGATTACTCCCTTTGCAGATGCAAGACTTCCTATCTGAGTAGCAAGGGGACTTAAATCAACTAAAGCAAGGTGATCCACCAACACTTCAGTTTTCTCTCATCTGCTGAGCTGGCAGCACTGCTGAGTCACTATGCTGAGCTATAAGACACCTCCCCTCAGCCACACAGAGCGTCACACTACTGAGGAACAACGCTGGACAGTTATGAGGCACAGACCAAGGTCCAATGAACTTTCCATCCATACTTATTCGGCAATACAAAAGATCATGGAGCCAGTTTTTGCAAGAGCCAAGAACTCCTAAGCAACTTAATACTGAGGTCTCCTACATCCTCAAATCTTCAGTTTGAGAGGCTTCACTTGAGATCTATGCAGTCTGAGAATGGTCTGAACAAAAATACAAGCTGTAGGTACTATGTTAGTAAAGACAAGATAACAGTTTTCAAACTGCTGTTCTATACTTTCACATTCAGTGTGGGATAAATTTAAAATGAACAGGGAGGCTATGGGTCTGCTATGGTTGACCTAAAAATTCCTTTATGGTAGGACATGATAGTTCACTTAAAATAAATAAAATTACAGCCTAATCTGAGAAGTCAAGGTTGTCTTTCTGCTTACACCAAAGACACGATAGCAGTAGTCTTTATGCTTTCAGGTACCGGAAAAGTGAAAAAGAATGAGGCGTTCACCCCATTTTAAACTTCCCAAAATACCAGGATATTATCACCCTTACAGAATTGACCCTTAAGTTTCAGGACAGAACATTTTGTTGCAAAGTTGTCCCTGTAATGAAACAGGGACACTTGAAACATTATAGTTTTCACATCTCCCAGAAACACAAACCAAAAGGCAGAATTTCGCAGCTGCCTTCCAATGTATCTCAATGACAGCAAAAAGAGTTCATGAGCAGAGTAACAATTTCCTATGAAACCGTAGTAGATGCTGGTTTATAAAATGGATAATTTACTTGCATGTATATCTTTTTACCAAACTCTACCAGTAAATGCCAGAACCAAAGATCTTGGAGTCCCCATTTGGCTAAGTAAATAAACCACATCTGCCCGTATCCAAAACTGGTGACATGGAGAGTTCAACCCTATCAACTCCAGATTTGTAGCAGACTTTTTTTTTTTTTAAGTGGTGGGAAGGGGCCTGCTCCACATGCTGAGAGTACAAATTTACTGTCCAGGACAGTGAAAACCCTCAGTAATCCTGAGATTACTAATCCTAATCCTCAGAGGACAGAAAAGCCCCTCTAGGTTCTGGGGCTTACTGCTGGAAGAAACGGTTCCAAGAGCGAAGAAACAAATACCACTGAATAAGCAGTGTTTCTCAATCCTGACAACTTTTCTCCCCAGCACTGGCACTGAGAGAGTGTGTTGAAGGCCAGGGCAGTGACAACTGCCAGCCCAGGGCTCCACACCCATCCCATGGCTGCACGTATCTAGGAGGAGATATTGAGGAACCTCCATATCAGAAGGGGATGGCCCTTTATGCCAGAATGGCTCCTGCAGCAAGCAGCCTGCTTTCCCTTACACTCCTGAGAACCTCTATAAAAAGGGGTGTTGGCCGATGAGCTGTCTGCAAATGTCTGCGCACAAACCGTATGTTCTGTATCCTGTAATCGATGGGAGATTAGATAGGCTGGCTTTCTGCAGTACTTTGTAAGCAATTAGCCCTCTCTCCCCAGTTTCAGTATTTCCTCACTCTGCTTATGACTCTAGAAATGTCAATAAAAGCGCTGATAAAATTTTGTATGAGGCTAAATTTCAGTGCAATTCAGTATACTCTTCTGCTTATCACAAAAAAACCCCAACAAACTGAAGAAATGCTTCAGTACCCTATGTTAAGATACAAATAGAAATGGAGAAGTATGTGCATAATTATCTTTTTCTGAGGATTTTTTTTGAGACGGGAAAAACCACAGCAAATACTGTTTTTAAATTTAGAAACATAATTTCCTTTAAATATGAACAGCAGACAAAGATTGATGCAGTCAGCAAGACTACTACCCCAAATACATTAGATGTCACATAAACCTCATAATTCTATGAGATGCAAAGATTGTACGTAAAAAATTAAGAAAGAGAAAACTCAGCATTTCTGAAATAGTATTCTGATGTGAGCTACCAACAGCAAAAGTGTAATTCAGTGCACAAGTGGAAAGGTTAGGCAACCACAGGCCACAACTGCTGCCATAGCAACCATATAAAACATTATTTTTTTTTTCTACAACAGGAAAGTGAGACAGTTCCCACCACAGAACATTCATTCACAACACAAACAGGATTGCCCTCACTCCATAGAAAGTGCCAGACAGGTTCTAAAATGCATTTTAACCTACCACTTTGTTGCAGATCTTCCCTTTAAAACCTTATTAATTACAAGATAATGGGTATCAGAGAGCTCTCCATATATTGAAAAGGTTGTTGAAATAATCTGACTACGTTCTTTATATGTATCATTTTCACTGATCTACAGAACATACAGATCCTAACAGACAAACTTTCCTGACCTTTAAAATGTCATTGTACTAAAATGAATACAGGATTTTCCGAGGACATTTGTCAGTGAAACATTCCTTATAATGCTGCATTCCTAGCATGCTTGGTTTATGTGGATAAATGGCCTTCACAAATAAGATATTTTTCGGCCAACATTTCCATGCTCTTTATCCCTGCTTTGTCTTTTTATTTTCTGTGCTCTGAATTACAGCTGTCAACTCTTCCACACAAGATTTGCATTCTCCTGCTTCATTGTCACTGAATGCATGTTACTTCCCATTCGCAGATTCTATTACATTATCTCCTGTTTCCATCCGGTGCATGATGCAGGGCAAGATGAATCAAGACCATCCCTTGTACAGGGATGTTTTAAGTTATATCACAGCTTAGTAAATTAAATTTCATGGATCAGTTAGATACGGATAATGGGAAACGTGTTTAAGACCAGTGTTCACAACTCTTGAGGAACATCATGGCTATGGAAAGAAGTTTTCAATTAACTTATACTATGTATTTTTCTTTTCACTTATTTTTCTCCTTATTTATTTTTCTTCTTCCTTTTAGGAATTTCATTTCTGTAAAGCCAGAAAATTATTTCTAGTACCCTAGATATGAGACATACATTTTTTTCAAGGAATGTAATTTATCTTATTTCTAAGAGACAGAACTTGGTTTAGCTTGTTTTCCCTCATTCTCTTGTATCTTCTGTGTCTATATGTCATCAGCATAGAAATAATAACATTACTGCCTGTTTTCAAAGAAAAATAATCTTTGACATTGTTCCCATACTGCAAGCTCCATCACTTCTTCAATAATTCACGTTTTATGGCTCATTAAAAAAAACCAAAACAAAACCCCCAATACCGAAGATACTTAAAGTCATCAAGATTGCAAACCTCAGAGAACTTCATTTGTGCTTAGAGCTACATTTGTCTTTGAAAGAGAAATAAATTCAGTTATTGAAAACAAGGATTACTGGATGGTATTAATTTAGAACCAAAGTTAAAATATCCTTATGCATCATCCAACAGAAATTTTAGACAAAGCACTTAGAAATAAAAGTGAAGACCAAAGTTAGAAAGTTAAGTAAGGACATATGGAATATACCTTTAACAAATATTTTCCTCTTCTATTATTCTATGAATATTCAGGCATTCACGTTTCTTAAGCAAAAAGGCAATACATGAACTTACCAATATAAAATATGCATCCAGAATGCAACATACTTTCTGTCCACAATTGACACACTTCACTTTCTGTAAGAGCTTCGACACCATAATAGGCTTGGTATTCTAGTTTTGGCAACAGGAATATTGGAGTAACCTATAAAAGTTGGGATGAAAGAAAAATCAGCACTCATTGTCCAAAAAATGTCCACAACTGAACTACATTTTGTAGTTGAAAATTATCAGTCTTCTACTACAGCTGAAGCAACAAAGGCATTTCACATTGTGTGTAATGGCTCACATTCCATGAAACCCACAGTACAAACTTCAGACTAGAGACCCTATACAGAAGACGGTGAAAAAGGGAAAAAAATCCAAACAGCCTAGGCAAGCTTTCACAAATAATAAGTAATTTTTCCATACTACTAATCAATTTTAAGTTCACCCTTCTGTGCTCTACTGCCCTCTGCAGGAATTTAAGAAAAAATACATTACATTTATAATTACTGGAATCCTTCCATTTATTCCCCTTGTCAGAATTTCACTTGACATTAGAATCCTGTGCTTGGACTCTCGTTTCAAAAGAGAGGCTAACCTTTGCATACCAACACTAACAGAGAAAATACAAGCCTCTAACTGACAAATCA